TTCAAGAGATTCTCCTACCTTAGCCTCCCAAGTAGCTGGGACTATTGGTGCCCACCTCCACGCCTAGCCAGTTTTTTGTATTTTGTAGAGATGGGGTTTCACCATGTTGGTCAGGCTGGTCTCAAACTCCTAACCTCAGGTGATCTGCCTGCCTTGGCCTCCCAAGGTGCTAGGGATTACAGGCATGAGCCCCCATGCCCGGCCCTAAAGTTTTTTTTTTTTTGAGATGGAGTCTTGCTCTATCGCCCAAGCTGGAATGCAGTGGCACGATCTTGGCTCACTGCAACGTCCACCTCCCAGGTTCAAGCAGTTCTCCTGCATCAACCTCCCAGGTAGCTGGGATTACAGGTGTGCACTACTGTGCCTGGCGAATTTTTGTATTTTGAGTAGAGATGGCATTTCACCATGTTGATCAGGCTGGTCTTGAACTCCTGACCTTGTGATCTGCCCACCTCGGCCTCCCAAAATGCTGGGATTACTGGTATGAGCCACTGCGCCCCACCACAATTTTTGACCTGAAGTCTATTTTGTCCGTTATTAGTATAATCGCCTCTGTTCTATTTTGTTTACTATTTGCATGGAATATCTTTTCCATCCTTTCAATTCCAGCCTATGTGTGTCCTTAGATCCAAAGTGAGTCTCCTGTAGACAGCATAGTTGGATCCTGTTTCTAAATTCATCCATGCAATCTATTTTTTTTTGATTGGAGGTTTAAGTTTATTTACACTTAATTATTGATAGAGAAGGACTTACTGTGACCATTTTGCCGTTTTCTGGTGTGTCTTGTAGCTTTTTTGTCTCTTCTTTCTTACTGCCTCCTTTGTGTTATACTGATTTTTTTCCCCAGTAACATTTAATTCCCTTCTAATATCCTTTTGTGTATATTCTATATTTTCTGTGTGGTTACCATTGTAATTGCATGTACATTTTTAATGTTACAGCATTCTATTTTAAACTGACAACTTCTATTGCATGTGAAAAATCTGCTTTATAAATCAAAATCCATCCCACTTTGTTATTGTTGTCACAAATTATATCTTTTATATATTGTATACCCCTTAGCATAGATTTGTAGTTTTTTATGGCTTTGCCATATAAATTCTGTGCATTAACATTCAGTAATATGCTTCACTATATTTGTCCATGCACTTACCTTCACTGGAGCACTTTGTATTTTTTATGGCTTCATGTGTCTATCTAGTGTCCTTTCATTTCGACTTGAACTCCCATGAGGACTTCTTGTATAGCAGTTCTAGTGACAATGGACTCTCTCGGCTTTGTTTTCTTTTTTTTCTGAGACAAAGTCTCGCTCTTGTCACCCAGGCTGGAGTGAAGTGGTGCGATCTCGGCTCACTGTAACCTCCGCCTCCCAGGTTCAGGCGATTCTCCTGCCTCAGCCTCCCAAGTAGCTGGGATTATAAGCACACACCACCACGCCTGGCTATATTTTGTATTTTTAGTAGAGACAGGGTTTTACCATGTTGGCCAGGCTGGTCTTGAACTCCTGACCTCAGGTGATACAACCACCTTGGCCTCCTAAAGTGCTGGGATTACAGGCATGAGCCACCACGCCGGCCCCATTTATCTGGCAGTCTTAAAGTTTCTCTATTTTTTTTTTATTTTGGGAGAGTCTCACTCTCGCCCAGCTGGAGTGCAGTGGCGTGATCTTGGCTCACTACAACCTCTGCCTCCTGGGTTCAGGCAATTCTCGTGCCTCTGCCTCCCAAGTAGCTGGGATTACAGGTTCACACTCTTACACCTGACTAATGTTTTATATTTTCCGTAGATCAAGGTTTTGCCGTGTTGGCCAGGCTGGTCTCAAACTCCTGGGCTCTAGTGATCCACCTGCCTCAGCCTCCCAGAGTGCTGGGATTACAGGTGTGAGCCACTGAGCCTGGCCCCAAATTTCTCTCTCTTTTTTTTTTTTTTTGTTGTTGTCGAGACAGAGTATTGCTCTTGTCATTGAGGCTGGAGTGCGATGACGTTATCTTGGCTCACTGCAACCTCTGCCTCATGGGTTCAAGTGATTCTCTAGCCTCAGCCTCCCAAGAAGCTGGGATTACAGGTATCCACCACCATGCCCAGCTAATTTTTGTATTTTGAGTAGAGACGGGGTTTCTGCCATGTTAGCCAGGGTGATCTTGAACTCCTGATCTCAAGTGGTCCACCTGCCTCAGCCTCCCAAAGTGTTGGGATTACGGGCATCAGCCACCGTTTCATAAGTGAGCACAGCTGTTCACCTCCCAGACAGGGAGACAGAGCCTTATCAGCAGCCCAGAAGCCCCGTTTTGCCCTCTTCCAGTCACTGCCTTGCCTTCCTTTTTTCAAATGTCTTCTATTCTGATTTCCATAGATTACTTTTTCCTGTTTTTGAACATTTTTTGTTTTGTTTTGAGACACCGTTTTGCTCTTTTGCCCAGGTTGGAGTGCAACGGCGCGATCTTGGCTCACCACAACCTCCACCTCCCAGTTTCAAGCGATTCTCCTGCCTCAGCCTCCTGAGTAGCTAGGATTACAGGCATGTGTCACCACGCTGGCTAATTTTGTATTTTTAGTAGAGATGGGGTTTCTCCATGTTGGTCAGGCTGGTCTTGAACTCCTGACCTCAGATGATCTGCCTGCCTCAGCCTTCCAAAGTGCTGGGATTACAGGTGTGAGCCACTGTGCCTGGCCTGAACTTTATGTATGTAAAGTTCACAAGTGGAATTGTACTGTAAGTGGAATTGTACAGTTTATACTTTAAGAAAATCGAAGTATTAAAAAGTACATATAGACATGTAGACAAGTGCACATATCATCCATGTTCAGCTTGATGAATTTTCAAACCAAACACATCCACATAGCCAATATCTGAATCAAGACAAGCCATTTCCAGCACCCAGAAGGCCCAGCTGTGTTCCTTGCAGTCACTGCCATCCTCTGCCCTCCTTCCTACTCCTGAGCAAAATCACTTTTTTTTTTTTTTTTGAGACGGAGTTTCGCCCTTGTTACCCAGGCTGGAGTGCAATGGCGCGATCTCGGCTCACCGCAACCTCTGCCTCCTGGGTTCAGGCAATTCTCCTGCCTCAGCCTCCTGAGTAGCTGGGATTACAGGCATGCACCACCATGCCCAGCTAATTTTTTGTAGAGCAAAACCACTTTTAACAACACAGATTGGCCAGGTGCGGTGGCTCACGTCTGTAATTCCACCACTCTGGGAGGCCAAGGAGGAAGGATTGCTTGAACCCAGGAGTTGGAGACCAGCCAGGACAACATAGTGGGATCCTGTCTCTACAAAATAAAAATTAGCTGGGCATGGTGGTGCATGCCTGTAGTCCCAGCTCCTTGGGAAGCTGATCTGAGAGAATTGCTTGTACCTAGGAGGCCCAGGCTGCAGTGAGCTGTGACCACATCACTGCGCTTTAGCCTGGACTGTAGAGCGAGACCCTGTCTCAAAAACAAAAACAAACCACAGATTTGTTTTTATTGTTATGTACTTTTTTGGAATCCTATACAGTAGTTTGAACTCTATATGTTACTTGAATTCAGCATGGGTGCGAGATTTCATTGCTGTGTAATTTTAATTTGCATGAGTATATGGCAGTTGATTTTTCTAGTCATAGACATTTTGTTTTTTGTAGCTTCTGGCTGTTTTGAATAGAGCTGCTGTTAGCATTCTTTTGGTGTACACGTGCACTCATTTTTGTTGGGAATTCTTGGGTGCGAAGGTAGCTGCATGCTTAGTTCCAGTGGGTTCCTCCCATTTTCCCGTGTGGCTGTATTGATTCACATTGTGTAAGTTCCAATTGTTCCAAGTCTTCGACACCACTTGGTATTGCCAGTCTTTCATATTTTGCAAAGCTGATTTCTTCTTTTGAGACACAGTCTTGCTTTGTCACCCAGGCTAGAGTGCGGTGGTGCAATCTTGGCTCACTGCAAACTCTGCCTCCTGGGTTTAAGTGATTCCCCTGCCTTAGTCTCCTGAGAAACTGGGATTATAGGTGTGTGCTACCATGCCCAGCTTTTTTTTTTTTTTTTTTAAACTTTGTAGAGATGGGCTGTTACTCAGGAGCTCCTCTGATTTTTTTGTATTTTTGCCATGTTGGCCAGGCTGGTCCTGAACTCCTAGACTTGAGTGACCTGCCTCAGCTTCTCAAGTGCTGGGATTACAGGCATGAGCCACTGCGCCCAGCCAAAGCTCATTTCTTTTTAAACGACTCATTTATCTTTCAGTGTAAATGTGAAATCTATACTATAATTTTCATTTTCAGGTTTTCAAAATGTAATCTTAATCTGTCATATTAATTATTCTATCATCGTCAGTTTTATGAATTGAGAGATGTTTTCCCAAGTAAAAATGTTCTGGATTTCTGTAGGAATCACAATGTGGAAATGAAATCATTTGCCATGTGCCATGCAGCACAGGATTGTCCCTTGTCACATTGATGAGATGCAGGAAGAGCCCCCCACTGGACGATTCCTGGCAGCCTTGGCTGGCAGCTGACGTCCGTGTCTTCCAAGCGTTCTTCTCTCTGTCGTTTGAAGGATACTTTATTATGCCACAGCATGCCCTAGGCTCCCTCAGTGACGAATGCGATTTCCAGGGGTAGTCCTTGCAGAAGCATTGTGAAGGTGCAGACCTCCACAGAGACTGTGGGCTCATTTCTCTGGAAAAGGGACAAGGAGGCAGCAAAGACAGACCCAGCTGCCACGGAAAGATTCAAATTAGATTTTACAGAACATTTGCCCTAGGTCAAAACCAAAGAAGGATTCCTTTTTATCAAAACTTCATTTGTTGAAGGGTATAAAGTAAAACATGTTATTTTACTTCTCATAGAATTACAAATATTACTTGGAATTTGTAGATCCTTTGCCTCAGGCTCAGCACAACCTAGAAGGCATGATGGATCGAGGGTGTGAAATGCGATTTTCCAGGAATCTAAATCTGTGAGTCAGGGAGAAGAAGCGGAGGGCAAGAGCTAGTTGAAGGAATGTTTTTCTCCTCTTTCTTTCCTTATTAGGTGCCTCTTGAAGTGGATTTAACTAAAGCGAAGAGACAAGATTTTGAACCGACTGTGGAAGAGGCAAGATACAACAGTTGCCGACCGAACGTGGCCCTGGGACACCCACAACTACAGGAGGTGACCTCCCCTTCTAGACCAAGCCACGCTGTGATACAGGGGAACAAGGACTGCAGCTCCCGGTATGTGGCCTAAGTCGCCTCCATTTCCTCTCCGGCCCCTTCCTCTGTCACTGGGGCTGCCTCCACTTTCTCCTTTAGAGCCAGCCAGCTGTGTGCGTGCTCCCAGGAGCTGTGGCTGTTACTTAGGAGCTCCTCCTCATCCTGTTGCTCCCCTGATGCAGACGCCTGACCTCATCTGCTGTGGAGAGCGAGGCCTCGTACCAGCGGAAGCTCCGGCAAAAGCAGCTGCAGCAGCAGTTCCGGGAGCAGATGGAGAAGCAGCAAGTCCACGTGTCCACCCCTCCAGCTGAGAAGAGTGAGGGTGTGTGAGTGGATGGGAGCAGAGCCCTGGGAGGTGTCTGCAGGAGCAAGTCTAGCGACAGGGTCACCTGATTCTCTGCCAGTAACCCTGTGGCTGGCTCTGAACCAGGCCTCGCTGGGACTTCTCTCAAGCTACATGCAAGACAGATGAGTCCAGGAAATTTAGACATTTAAATCTGCTATACATGTTCCCATTTCTAGAGACAATGATCTTTTTTTTTCCCCTATGGAAGTAAGTGGGCCTTGATATAATCTTCTGGAATTAGAAATTTCAGAGTAGATAACTTTTTTTTTAATTGCAAATACTTTGGCCATCTCTACATTAGAAAGCCTTAGCAGGGCGCAGTGGCTCACACCTGTAATTCCAGCACTTTGGGAGGCCAAGGTGGGTGGATCACTTGATGTCAGGAGTTTGAGACCAGCCTGGCCATCATGGTGAAACCCTATTTCTACCAAGAATGCATAAAAACTAGCCGGGCGTGGTGACGCACGCCTGTGGTACCCCCTACTTAGGAGGCTTAGGTAGGAGAATTGCTTGAATCCGGAAGGCAGAGGTTGCAGTGAGCCGAGATCGTGCTATTGCACTCCAGCCTGGGCAACAGAGACCCCGTCTCAAAAAAAAAAAAAAAAGCCTTGTATTTCTGAGATGTCTTTGAATATAAGGCCAAATTGAGACTCAGGATAACGGGAGCTTGTGGCAGATGTTTATCAACTTTAGTTTATTTCAGAGTCCAGATTCAGTGGGAATGTAGTGATACAGACTCTTCTTTTCTTCTCTCTCTCCCCACCTCTTCCCCACTGCCCCATCCAGGGGGAGGTAGTCCTTACTCAGAGAGTGGAAACAAAGAAAGGGCTTGTCCCAGATCCATTGAGCTTTTGCCCAGTTTTTCCCTACCAATTGTGAAGAAGATTCATAGAAGACTTGTTTCGTGGTTGGTTCATATGCCCCTCAGCACTGACAGGCTGAAAGTAATATAAAAACCAAAACAGAACCACTTCCTGTTCTGTGGCTATCCTTACTGATGAGTTACTCTAGATGTTTAGCTTCTCACACTGCAGAAGCTCCCATGTGAAGTGTGGAGGAAGAGGCCCTCCAGGCCTTTCCTACCCTTTGGCAGACAACCAGAGCCATTGTTATTTTAGTCCATTTCACACATCTGATTTTGGTTTAAGACTTTGATTGCTGGTTTGCTTTCAGAGAGGATCTTGCTCTGTCACCCAGGCTAGAGAGTAGTGGCACGATCAGGGTTCACTGCAGCTTCGACCTTCCTGGACTCAAGTGATCCTCCTGCCTCAGCCCCCTGAGTAGCTGGGACTATAGGTGCCTGCTACCACACCTGGGTAATTTTTTACTTTTTGTAGAGATGGGATCTTGAACTCCTGGGTTCAAGCAATCTTCCCGCCTCGGCCTCCCAAAGTGCTGGGGTTTATAGGTATGAGCCACTGCGCCTGGCCAGGTTTTAGTTTAAGATTTTGTTTGTGCAAGGGTTACAGCTGTAGTAAGCAAGCCAGACGCTGGACGAGATGGCCTCTAAGAGCCCTTCTACTTTTGCCGTGAAAGGAGAAAGAAACTCATTTTCCCACTTTGGTGAGAAGAATTCAAACCACAGACAGAGCCATAGGTAGGACTAGGACTCGGGAATCTAAAGTTCTCATATTGGCTGAAGCAGCGTAGCCTTACGCAGTGTTGCCCTTCTGAGTGTGTTCCCTCTAAGAAGAGGACAGTGGACGTACTCTCGTAAATCCCATGTAGGATGTGATTATGACTTGTCCTTTCTTTCCTCTGTGAACCGTAGCTGCGCCTCCGGTCCCTCCTCTGACACACAGCACTCCCGTAACTGCGGTCTCAGAACCACTCCTGGAGAAAGACTTCCTTGCAGGAATGACTCAAGAATTAATCAGTAAATACCTTGAAATGCTTGTAAGCTACTGTGCTGTATGTTTTTAGTAGCCACAGAGTACCTTTTAGGCAGTGTAAAAATCCTCATTTTCGTCTGTTTTTGTTGGGGGCGGGAGCATTCTGGCGGTGGCATATGTCCAGTTCCTCTTTGATCCGAACTGAAGGAAGGTTCTTCAGTGTACTTTTAGGGGTAGGGGAGAGAAATTCCAAAAACTTTCAGAAAGCACTCGACATGGAATTTCTGATGGCCAGTTTTTCCAGTGCTTTCTGTGAGAATACTTCATTATTTGCTGATGATACACTTTTCCTTTCCTTTGTAGAGACTCTTGAAGACAACTCTTTAAAGTGGGCTATGACTCCAGATGCAGGGGATGGTGTGGTCAAGCCCTTGTCTAGAGCAGACCCACCCCAGACCTCTGACACACTAGCCTTGAACAACCAGACGGTGACCCAGGACAGGACTCCACACAGCCTTTGCCACCAGAAACCACAAGCGAAATCTGGACCTTCGGACCTTCAGACGTATAGCACTGACCAGTGCATAACAGGTAGCAGAGAGGTGTTTAGGAACAAAAATTAAAGGGGAACCTAGCTTTAATTCTGGGAATTTTTGAGGAAGGATGACGTTTCATTTCGATAGAATAATTCCCAGGGACTAGCACTGCAAGTGGAAGATAACCGGGGGCCTGGTTTGAGAGCCAGAACTTTTCCTTTGGGCTCCTGAATTCAGGTGCAGCCCTTTTCAGCACTTGATAGTAGCAGGAAGCAGAAGCGCCATTGCATGGACAGCTTGCCCTCCTAGCAGCAGGGCTGTCATGAGCACGATGCCACTTGGTCTAGGAAAATGATCTGCCTTCCTCCCAACAGAAATTCTCATTCTTGGGCTTAGTCTAAATTAGGATCATTAACTAATAAAATCCAGAAATCATTAGATGTCAGTTTATTGTAACCATGGCAGTTACATTTAAGCCATTTTGTCTTCCACAGGAAACTGGGAATCTCACAGGAAGAGCCAGGACATGAAGAAAAGGAAGTATGATCCATCTTAACTGAGGCTCAGGCCACATGATTGGACCTTGTCACAAAGGGACTTTGGAAAACTACATTTTTGTCATGAAATCGTTCATCACTCCTGGAGAATGAACTTTACTGCTAAGGATTTATCTTGCTTCATTCTGAACCTTCTCAAGAGGATCTGACTGAGAGCCTACTGCAGTTAGAGCTGAGCACTTTTAAAAAGCTTGTCCCCGACTGGGCTAGGTGGCTCATGCCTGTAATCCCAGCACTTTGGGAGGCCGAGGCAGGTGGATCACCAGGTCAGGAGTTCAAGACCAGCCTAGCGAAGATGGTGAAACCCTGTCTCTACTAAAAATACAAAAAAATAGCTGGGTGTGGTGGTGGGCACTTGTAGTCCCAGCTACTCGGGAGGCTGAGGCAGAGAACTGCTTGAACCTGGGAGGCAGAGGTTGCAGTGAGCTGAGATTGCGCCACTGCACTCCAGCCTGGGTGAGAGTGAGACTGTCTCAGAAAAAAAGCTTGTCCTCCACTCTAGTAGGGAGAGGCGCTGGATGGATGAAATATCTTTTCTTTGGCTTGTGAGGCTTCCCACTATTTATTACTAAACTATTGTTAATAAAGAAGATGGACATTTTAGAAGTCACCAATGGCTGCTTGCCCTCAAGCAATATAGGCCAGACTTAGTACTAAGCACCTGCCTTAGCAATTGCCTACATTCAATTGTTTTGCATAACCTCTGCCTTCTTTCCTTTAAGGCCCTATGCCTTTAATGTTGTCCACTTTAAGCACTGTGGATCATGACAGGCAAACAGTTGGAGTAGTGCTTTTTACTACTTTGTATCAATCTAGGCTACAATCTTCATTTAATCTAAATAAACTAATTTATGGGTTTATGACATTACAATCCTGCATTCTTTCAAGACTGACATTTTTCCCTAAGAAGGAAATAATCATCTAAGGTCAAGGAAAAACCTTTTTTTTTTTTTTGAGACAGGGTCTTGCTGTGTCACCCAGACTGGAGTGTGGTTGGTGCAAACAGCTCAACCTCCTGGGCTCAAGTGATCCTCCCACCTCCGCCTTACAAAATGCAGTTATTACTGGTGTGAGCCACTGTGTCCAGCCAGAAAAGGCATTTTGAGAAAGCAAATTGTATACTTTATAAGAAAACAGAAAATATACATATTGCATATCCCTTATCTGAAATGCTTGAAACCAGAATTTTTTTGCATTTTTTGAATATTTGTATATACTTAACGAGACCTTGTGGAGGGGACCCAAGCCTGAACGTGGAATTCACCTGTTTCATATATACCTCATACACATAATTTTATGCATGCGACAAAGTTTGTGTATAAGATATACTGCAGCTGAAGGGGGCTGAGTCCTTTTTTCTCTGAGGGTTGCTGAATAAACTGTTTTGTGCCTGGTGCTTTGTGGAATTTTCCACGTCAGTGCTGAGAAACTTTCAGATCTCAGAGCATTTCGATTAGGGATGCTCAAGCTGCAACTATTTGTTTGTACTTCTGCATTTCAAATGTGAGATGTAACCCACCTTGACCATAAATTGGCTTTTCATAGTGTTTAGATGTTTTAAAATTTTTTCCCCCAAATAATGAATTTGCAATTTTATTTTATTTTTGAGAAGGTGTCTCTCTGCATCTCAGGCTGGAGTGCAGTGGTGCGGTATCGGCCCACTTCAACCTTCACCTTCCGGGTTCAAGCGATTCTCCTGCCTCAGGCTCCTGAGTAGCTGGGATTACAGGTGCCGTGACCATACCCAGCTTTTTTGTCTTTTTAGTGGACAGGGTTTCTCAATGTTGGCCAGGCTGGTCTAGAATGCCTGACCTCAAGTGATCTGCCTGCTTTGGCCTCCCAAAGTAAGTGCTAGGATTACAGGTATGAGCCACTGCACCCAGCCAATTTAGTTTTTTTAAAGACGTGTTTTGGACTGGGCTGTGCCTATCTTGAAGCAGTGACTTTTTTTTGGCTCACAGACACATTGTGGGAAGCTGTGAACCGAGATAAGGAAGTCTGAAAGTACTAGCCAGCAGCCGACTGTTTCTATTCCTTTGGAAGATGAAGAGGTAGCAAAGAGCCCCCAAGAATTAGGAATCCGGTTATAAATTGCACTTAAAATAGTGCCAATGAAAATGTGAAGGAATTTTCTGTAAATGAAACCCCACAGCTCAACAAAAGCAGGTTTGGTTTATTTGAATGGTTTCATTAAATAAGTCTACAAAGGTAACAAACTGAAGCACAAAGCGCAATCTTACAAGAAGCGCAACACCCAGAGTTAGTGCAAAATGTACAATTAACGGCTGCTGAGAAACCCCCGAAGTTTGAATTTTTATTTTTTTAAACAGTGTACATTGTTAAATAATGTAAGGAAAACTTATAATTCAGAAAGTTTTTTTAATGTGGAAAAAGATATTCAAAGTGTACTATCAACACAAAAATAATTTAAACAGTTCAGTAGCACTAGTTCATTCCTCTAGGCTTCAGTTATTTCATCCACAGGAAGATGAATTAACAGTAAATAAAACCAGTTCTTTTTGTGTACGAGTGAAAAAAATCTCAAAATTATTAAACCCAAATAACAAATGCTAACGTGCTGCATTAGGCTCCCCTGCTCCTCTCATATAAAGTATTTCCACTCCTAGGTGGTCCCCGTCTCAGCTACTCGGCTCCTTGTTGGTTCTATCCTTACTCTCACTCTCTCCACAAGATACACAAGCAGAGAATAAATAAGTAAATATTTTTAAAGCAGGAGTTGAAACCCCTGCCCTTTTCCTTTCTACCTTTTAAAAACCTTCAGCTCTTACTTGCATACTTAGGGCCACAGACCAACTTACTAAGGGAAGCAGGGCCCGTAAGGAATGAACAGGTACGGAGAGCCTCAGCTTCTTTCTGTGGTGGTGGTGATTCCCGGAATAAGCCATTGACGTGGGTAAAACGTTGGAAATATGTCAGTTTCCCAACTAAGAGTCAAGAAGCACCCCAAAATTAAGAGTCTTAGCTTCTTTGTCCGTCTTCAGAGATAACAAAGATCCCAAACATAGCCAATTAGGACAGTATTTCCGGAAAGCTCTGAAAACAACAGAACTACCCATTACAAGTAGGCATAGCACTAAATAACACTGATTGGTTGCAGTTATTACTTAAGGGAATATTTGACAATGTGAGCATATTAGTTGTATTTCTGGAAATAAAGGTGGCACAAAAGATTATGATCCTGCAACCATTTGGACATCATAAAGGAAATGAGTAGGAATAAGTATCCTTTCCTACGACGATTATTAATTCAGATGTGGAAAGATTCACTTTCCACAAAATATAGTACCCCAAGCTGAGAACTGCATGGTACATGTGCAGCAAGAGGAAAGCAATCCAGTTTTTCTTAGAGCAACTTTCTCCATCTGTGACTTTTCACTATCAGGTTCCCCAACTTGATAACTAGCCCCCACCCCCTTTTCTTTATGTTCAGTTTCTTCTAGGTCACGTCTGTTCAAGCCTCGCTCAAATAAAGGTTTATGTGACAGTCATTGGCCAGGCATCACATATCTTCAAAACAAGTTTGTTTCCTCATTCTTTAGTCTTTGTCTTTCACCCAGCACATACCATTCTTCGTCTTTTAAAAAAGTTGCCCAATTTTGTTCTAACACCCCCTCCTCACTCTTCCTGAAACAGAACTTTGTTTTTAACCACTAATGCCAACTTAACTTCCCACCTACTCATCTTACACCTGCTCTAGACAAAGTTGTTGAATGACTTAAAAAAATACTTCTTCTATTTCCCTTTGGCATATCCACTGCTGGGGTCACATGGACCTAAGATTTCCTTCCACATGCCCTTTATTGATCTGGGGTCTGATAAGTTGATGCTAATGGCAGAAGCAATATAAGTCCAAGGCACTAAAATGTCCAGCAAGCAACACTGGGAAACAGAAGTATTCAAGTACAGTAATTTATACAATTTTACATTCACATTTATTTATCTAATACAATGGAAATACAAAGGAAAAAGTTAAAGTGTCTCAATAAGTAAAGGACAGAGCTAGCTTTTTTTGGAACTTTTTAAACGTTTCATATTTTACTCTTAAAACTACTGTTGTCCAACAACATTTTATATATCACAGTGTTTCCACATCAAAACTGATGGCAAAGTTACATGTCCGCAGGGAACTTATTTTTTTTTTTTCCTAATTGCTAATGCTGCAGTCAAAGCTGCTAGTATCTTTTGCTTAAAGCACTAATGACCTATTATAAGAAAGGGTTGCACCCCAGTCCCCTGGTATTTTTCACTGGGTTCTAAAGAGCAAAGAAAAACAAAATCAAAAAGAGAAGGGGGGAAAAAGGAAGGAGGGCAGGGTAGGAGAGAGCCCAATAGGTTGTTTTTGTCTTGTGGTTCAGATTCTTGAGGGAGTAAAGGATTTGGGGCATGTACCAAAATCAAGGGCATGTACCAAAACCAAAACCCACTCAAAATTACAGATGGGGTTTGATTTTACATTGAGTTCTCTAGCTTCCTTATGAACAAGACTTTCCTAGCCCTCATCCTCACTACTGAGTACAGATAAACAGGAAAGCATGGTCTGAAGCTGCCCCTTTATAAGAAAGCTGCTCTTTCCTTCCTCTCCTACTCCAGTTAGTAGAGCAGGGGAGACTCTCCATTCTGAGGACTCAACGTGGAATTAAAAACATTCCCTTCTGGCAAGAAATAACCAGTTAAATGCAGCACTAGTAGTTAGTATATAGGCTACTCCCACCCCCCTCCCCTCCCCTCAGCATTCCATCTCCTGCCCCCAGATCTATTCAGTTAATATCTCTAGGTCTAAGTGGTCCGCAGGTTGGAACCTGGGGGGTTGCTGATGGATTTCTGCAAATTGCTGATGTTGAAATTCTGCAAGGAGGCAGTTCCCACAGGTTGGAACTGGCCAAGTGGCTGTGGTGCTGGGCCACCTGTCCCACTCCACTGAGCGCCAAATGGGGTAGCTGGAAAGCCATACTGCTGTGGGGGGCACATAGATTTGGTGAAGTGACCTAGAGAGGTAGCTGATGCTGCAGAGATGGGGGCAGAGCCACCCAGGTTCGAGGTCATGGAGATGCACAGTTGCCCAGGTGCAGAGAACTTCCTTGCCATTCCAGGGCCCTGAAAACAAAACAAATGCATGTCAAGTCTGGTGTGGGTTTAAGAGACATGGGTATAAAATGTGTGGTGCTAACATACACTTCTGGTCTAATCCTGTAAGATACAGCAAGAGAGTCTTCTATAGTATTTATTGGCTCTTTATATTTACCAAGTAAGGGTGAAAATAATCCTGATGAGAGGGGAGGGC